AGCCCACCCGGTGTTAAGTGGTTACTGAAGCCCATAGACATCTACAACGTAAATGCGCCACCCACCTTGAGATAAAAGTTCTAAGGTCTCAGGTATAGTTACAACGGCTGCCCCACCCTTCAAACCGAAACGCATTACTGCTTCACGGCAGAAATAAGCAGGGTGGTGGTACCTACCCGCGCGGACTCTCAAGAGGTCCTACCACCAGTAGTCGGTGGATAGCTGACCCGTTGCTTTACTAAATAAACTTTAGTGCGCATTTAAATGTGTTTCACAGTTGTCCTTACGTCGAAACGTCAAAAAAATGCTGCTATGAAAAACACATCTAAATAAATTACAAAAATTCCTGGTACCAACCCATATCCCGTATCATCGTTTATTTGCACGGAGATAAACTGAATAAACAAAACTAATACAACGCGCATGTTTGCTTGGCCGATAGATAACCGCTTTGTTACCATTGTGGCGTGCTTTGCTTGTACAGACCTGCGATTCGCTTATAGGTACGTTAGAAACAAAGTTACATGATTATGATGAATCAGGATTTAAGGTTACAATGTATTTGTGTACGTATTATAAATAAATAAATATTTACTAACAATCACGCCACGTTAACTGATCCCTTGCTATGTTCGTAAATAACTTGTGTTACAGGTACCAGATAACGGAAATAAATGTAAGATTTTTATTATACACATACATATATTTAATATACATCCAAAACCCTGGAAAAAACATTTTATATTTATCATACAAATATCTTCCCTTGGCGGGATTCGAACCCGCGACCCCCTTGTGTAGTGACCATGTCACTTACCACTACACCAGACGGCCGTTAATTATTAATTTTTTATTGCTTTGATTTTTACTGGTGGTAGGACCTTTTGTGAGTCCGCATGGGTAGGTACCACCACTATGCGTATTTCTGCCGTGAAGCAGTAACGCTCGGTTGAAGGATGGGGCAGCCGTTGTAACTATACCTGAGACCTTAGAACTTATATCTCAAGGTGGGTGGCGCATTTACGTTGTAGATGTCTATGGGCTCCAGTAACCACTTAACACCAGGTGGGCTGTGAGCTCGTCCACCCATCTAAGCAATAAAAAAAAGAATAATAATAATATACCGTAAACTGCTCTTTCCTCAAAGACAGTTGAGTAAAGAAGAGTTTGTTCGAGTCTATTGTCAATTATTATCAATTAATCACACAAACAGCCATTGAAAGACAGTTAACTCTATCTAATTGTCTCTGGAATGTTCTAAAACAATCTCACTATTACTCATTCATAATTAAAAACAAACAATAATGAGATCATCATCACACTTCACGTACTATAAAAGGTCTATTTTCTAGAGGCGAAAGTCAGAACGTCTTATAATGTTAGTGTGGATAGTTTTTATTCTCCACTTAGTTAATGCATCATGTTATAATAAATCCACTGTATTTAATTGCTTATGGCATAATGATTTTTGTGAGTATTGTTACTAAATAACTAAAATTGTTACTATTTAGTATGCATAAAATTATACGTGAAATGATTATGTTGTTTTGTTGAGGTTCAGTTATAATTATTTTATCTATGTACATACATTGTTACTAGACAACTTATTCAAATCTTAAAGTTATTGTTAAAATAATTTAAGAAACAAGATGACTTAAATGAACAGTTTTACGATGTGTCTTTCGCATTAAGTCACCTTCAGTAAATCCTAACTATTTGCACTAAAATTCTCAACACAACAAATCGGAAGGTATCGGAAAAGCACTAAATGCCTTTGAAGGCAGCAGTCGGCAACCCGGGGTTTGCGAGCCTCATAAGGCTCTTTGACTCATTAACTATGGCTCTTACACGAAATGTTTAGTCCAGGCACGGAATATTACTTATTATCTTGCTTGTAAGAGACGAGTAAACATTTATGAAACACAAAACTATAAAAAATATATGTTTAAAAAAATGGCACTTTGAATAAATTTCAATTGTCTAAACTATGTTTGGCTAATTTGGTTGACAGGTTGCCGACCACTGTTTTAACTCAGGTCCGAGATATTACGAACCTATCGAATGGAATTTAGAGTAATATTATATAACATTTTTTTAAGGTGACACAATACTTTCATAACGATATTTATATATTCTTTTAAGGATAACTAGATGATGACCGAGCTTTGCTCGTTTTTTTTTGATAACGCCATCTTGTTGTGTCTTTAAAGCGGTTAGTTGCCCTCAATTAAGAAAAATAGTATTATTATTCGCCAATAGATGTCGGGAAGAGTTGATTATTGAAAACGCGAATAAAACAACATTTTCTGAAAATAAATCGTAGCTAGATCGATTTATCGCCCCCGAAATCCCCTGTATACTAAATTTTATGAAAATCGTTGGAGCCGTTTCCGAGATTCAGATGATATAATATACAAGAATTGCTCGTTTAAAGGTATAAGATAAGATAGAGAATAATTAACATGTTTTGGTAATTTCGACGCTGCTTCAAAGGCACATCGCCCGTTCGATCAAAACTTTCAGTGTTTATCTTTTAAATAACTATAAAATGCTTAGGCGTCGATGTCTGCCCGGACTGGATGGTGGTTCAGATGAGCAATTGCTCTGAATCTTATTGGAGAGCACGAAGAACTTGCGAGCATCCAGAAGAAGTACTAGTGGGAACGATTTGCGGATTCTCCAGGTGCGACTGTCCCGGAACAACGGTTCTGGACACTGAAACCGGATACTGCTACGACGTGGATAACTGTCCAACGAAACATGGACTCTAGGTAATCGGAATCCTTAAATTAGTACATTGTGTGTGTTTTTCTACTACAAATTGAATAATAACTATCTGATGAACTCATCTTTGTTTAATACTTCAGTAAATTTTTTTATTGCATTTTGTTTATTTCACTTTTACACTAAACACAATATTGCTAATTACCCGAGCACAACAATGACGGAGAATTTTAGGTGCGTGAGAGCAGACATAGACACTAACGCGAATGCGCACTTGTACCCAGGGAGGAAAGGTTAGACTTTCTTCCCTGTACAGCGGGAGGAAAAGTTAGACTTTCTTCCCTATAGAGCGGGAGGAAAACCGAACTTTCGGCGTAGGTAGGAGAAAAAATTTATTGAGTCCTACTGCGATATATTTTTGATACAAAATCGTAACTTAAACGCGGTCTTGCGTTCTTATTTCAAGAGCAGGATAACAGATATTGTAATGCAATAAATAAACTGTCATATAGCTGGCTTGAGTATAATGCAGAGTAGTTCAATCCAGAGCTCTAGTTATTTAGACACTATAAGACGAATGTAAAATATTCTATACTTAACGGCCCCAAGAAACAAAGGAAGCTAAATAGGAAAATACTTCTATCGCTCAGACAATGAGTTACTAGGTGCCTGGAGAAGCTGGGGAGGCAGTGATTTCTACAAATTTCCCGTGAGGCCGACATCTTTATTTCTTTTTATATGAAGATTGGTTGCGGCAACGTATTCTGTATTAGGCTCATATTTCGCTGTGTAACAAAGAAGTAAAAAATCATATCAGCAATACAAGGACTCATTCACATCCACTGCTTACCATTATACCCGTTCGTCTATAAATAACTGTGCCGACTAATTTAATGTGAAAGCATCTAACACAATAAATTAATTACATTTAACAGTGTATTTTTAAAAGTTTTACGAGTGGTGTAAAAAACCTAATATACATATCATTATCATCATTAGCCTTAGCAAACGAATGAATATTTTTGAGTTGTTGCAGGTCGCGGGAGTCGCGAGAAACGAAGTTGTGTGAATTGTTTTATTTTGTTAATTTAGCGTTTCTTCAGGCTTAAATGTGCAATAACGATAGTTTATTAACTTTAAGTATTATTATTATTTATGTACACAAATATGGGAAAATGAATCAAAATCACTAGACGTAATTTCTCTAAATTTTCCAAAAAGTCCACTGTTAAGTCTCAGTAAATTACCACCGTTTTCCTGAAACTAGATTCCATCGTTTAACATGTCATTTCATCAGATTTCATCCCCGTTATTTTCGTAAATTAAAACTTCTTTTCATTTCGTTCCTTAAAACTTTTCATAAAACAGAAACAAAAGCTTAGGCTGTATGGTGTCTTATCTTTGTCGCTCTACATGAAAAAATGGAACTACTAAGTACTGAATGAATAATGTTAAATTATTGGTTTATGTTGAATTGGTGTATCCCTTTTTTACAGTAGGGAATGATCCGAGTATTTCAGAATAAGTACCGTACCGCAGAACGTTAGCAGGGAACGAGTACAAAATAAACTTTTTTGTAAAATGTATTTTGTAAATACTATATTAAATACTTTTGTTTGATTCGTCAATTGGACAGGCAAAGGGAACGTAGCCTATACAGCTAATCCTTTGCACTTAAAGCCAAAGTCGCGTTCGTTGTATGCTAAGTAAAAGGTAGCATTGGCAAGATAAGATGCACGGGATTGAATATGTTGGTTTTTTACTCTTTGTAGAAAATGTGATGAAGTTATCGTGTCCTTGATTTTTTAACAGGACACAATGAAATGTCGCACAGCTTGTTGCGGACGGGGCAATAAAAAGGTAGCAGCTTTACAATATGTGGCGTGTGGCTTACAGTGGCGGCATTCGCGGAATGGTTCGTGGTATATGAGTTACAATAGTTTCTTCATAGCACGTAGGCTGCAGTGAACTCGTTTGCCATAATGAAATGAAATAAAAAATGTTTTAAAAGTGCTTTTGATTCATTTAATAAAACGATCCAACCATAATAATAATTTCTTTCTCAGCCCATCTACGTTCCCAATACCTTTAATAATATTCAAGCGTTTTTTAATACTTTTATCTATCGTTATGTTTCGCTTTTTAGTGTATTTATAATACGTCGGATTTTTTCAGGTCCCAAATCACTCCTACAATGTACTTTATGACAACTCATATTTGTCACACATCACTCGGAAAACATTGCTCCTTGGACAGCTGGATAAAAAACATTGTTAAACCAAACAGGTCTAAAAGGTGCTGTAACTAATGGCCGTCCATTAATTTAAAAGTAAAAAATCTAAAAAAAAATTTGTTTTTCCGTTCCGGATTCACATTTCCATTTTCCGTAAAGTATTGGAAAATCTAATGGAACTTGTAGTTTATTTGCAACATTTTTATCATTAACGAGTTAAATTGTACTTATTAATTAAAATCATGATTCGTTTATGTCTGAAACAATTTGGCAACGAAAGTAAATTAGCAGTTTTAGCACTAACAGATCCATCAAAGAGCTTAAAATGTACTAGTACATTCAACTCAATCACTAGGAAATATGCCATAAAACTGAAGGAAGAAACACCTATAGGCACAGAAAAAATATATTACGGAACATTAACACCTCAGATAAAGGCCATAAAAATATTCTCTTTATGCACAAGCATAGCAGGTATTGCTATTCAACCTATGTTAATAAGAGAAGCATCAAGCATAGGAAGTACTTCTTTATTGGTAGCCATATGTTCAGTGGTGGGATTCTTCACGTTTGTAACTCCAATACTGCTGCATTTCATCACCAAAAAGTATGTTACCGAAATTTACTACAACGCCGAAACTTCGACATACAAAGCGATTACAATTAATTTCTTTGCAACAAAACGAATTGTAAGTAAAACTGCTTCTCAACGATATTTTATTATCAATATTACTATATAAATATGTATAAATTATATAAATAAATAAATTACTATGTATGAAAAACATTACAGCTTATTCCAATATGCATAGAATACTTTAAGTTTTTGGCAAAATTGTATAGGATGTCATTAGGTATCAATTTAATCTCAATAAATACTGGTGTAGACATAGTGTGTGATTTATTCATGTGCCTGAAATTACTTCTCAGTTGTAACCAGGTCATTAATTGGTGGATTTGGTCAGTTTGTGTCTTATCTACTTTTAACCTTATAAATATTTGTCATTTTCTTCAAGCATATCAAATCAGTGTCTGTGAATTAGTAATTAAGTATGTTCCCGAGACCCATAAAATGAGTAAGATCTGTTTTGAATGTGGAATTGAATATACTATGTTTAATCTAGCTATCTACTTATTTTATTAACATATCAATTTAATTTTTTTTACAGCATGAATTCAAAGTAGAAGATGTATTTGTTCCTGATGTACCAGGAATGTTCACTACTATGCATGCTAATGGCAAGCCGCTGTTCATTGAAGCACGATTCTTCAATAACCCACTGCACTATGCAAAGATCATGGGCTATGATAAGCCAATGGATTTTAAACTAGGAGAAACGCAAGAAAGTAAAAACCAAAAGTAAATTGTTATAAATGTTTGTAAGTCTTAGACTCAAAATATCAGTTGTGGTTCAAATTAAAGTTTAGTTAAACCATTATTTCTTCTATGAAGATTTTTTCCTTTCATTTCAAGGTGTGTGGCACTGATGACAATGGGTATCAAAACCTATTAACAACCAGACCGAGGCCACCCTTATGTGTTAAAAAACTAAATCACTCATAGCTGACAATCTCCAAATTGAATTCTTTGTAAATGGCATTAAGTTATAACTGGAGCCCATAGACATCACATAATAAATGCCAACCACTTCGAGACAGAGATTGACTTTGAGGTACAAGTCTCAATAAAATTCAAATGTAAGGCTGTCACAACCTTTGAACTAGAACACCATGGTTTGTGGCAGCCTGGATAATATTACCAAACTCATTATTTCAAATAATAAATTACCACTCAATAATATCGAAAATACAAAGAACAAACATGGACACATTTTTAAAGTTTGTTTAAACCATGATTGAAATAACAGGTCCTAAATGTTATTTATTATGAAACATGTGATTGTTAAATTTTGAATACCACCTTATTGATTATCCTAATGTTAAAACAATAAATATTTATTGTGTTAATTAAATATTATTAATTAGTTATTTATTGTGTTAATGAAATGTTCACAATAATTATTTATTGTGAACTTTCTATTAACAGGGGTCATGCCAATGTGTGGTTGAAAAATGTGTCTTAATTACTAAAATAATAATGTGAAACAATGTTATTATTTATTACAAATACTTGTAAGGATTAAAGATTATTGGAATAGAACTATGTTTTGTTTTCCATATGCAGAATTCTCTAGTAAAGAGCATTCTGCATATTTATAGTACTAAGAACAATACAATGCTAATAAGAATATGGTAATTCTCATCCAAAGAACCCTTCTAAGGCCCACCTTAGGTGATAACAGTAGAGAGTTTAATTACAAATTTCAGGTGCAACAAAAGTTTTTCATTCAGTTAGCGATAATCATAGTGGAGCATGGATGAATTCTAGAAATGTTAGGACATATAAAGATAATTATGCAAAGAATAATTATGATGAAGAATTAGCTGACCCAGCAGACTTCGTAGTGCCTTAATAGATGAGGAGACTCATCGCAACTTGAAATTTTGCAAAAAGCTTTTTATTTATGAGTACTATCTACAAAAATATTGTGAACTTCCAAATCGACCGACCAAAAAGGAAAGTTTAGCCAAGGAAAAACAAAATTGTTATTTTTATTTAATTACAAATTACTAAGTATGTACTGTTTCTATGCTTATTTTTCTGAAAATGTATTTCGTTGATCACATCTACTTATGGTTAACTGTAGGACAACTAAAAATAGTCAACATACAATAATATTATCTAATAATAGCTGGAAACAAATTAGGCACGGTCATCTGGCCCCAATTTAGGATTCCGTGTTATGGGTACCAGAGATTGATAGACATACTAAATATTTTTTTATTGCTTAGATGGTTGGACGAGCTCACAGCCCACCTGGCGTTAAGTGGTTACTGGAGGTCATAAACATTTACAAAGTAAATGCTCCACCCACCTTGAGATATGTTTTAAAGTATTCTAAAGTCTCAGTATGGTTACAACGGCTGTCCCACCCTTCAAACTGAAACGCATTACTGCTTCACGGCAGAAATAGGCAGGGTGGTGGTACCTTCCCGCGCGGTCTCACAAGAGGTCCTACCACCAGTAAAAATGCGTTTAAATAAATACATATCGGTTAAAATTTCAATGTATTTAGATGGGTGACTGCATTCACAATTAGATTTGATTGCTATAGATATTAACACCACCTAGGGCGTGGGTTCATCTACCCGCACTCATTAATACGACGATTTACTGTAATCTTCTACGTTTTTCAGTACTGGAATAACTACGTTTTAAATAGTTCTAATACTGAAATCTCGTATTATTTTTGTTGATACAAATTAGGCACAATATAAAATCTGTATTTTCATTTTATTTACTTATATAATAAAGGTTTCATTATAAACAATAAACGGTAATAAGTCTACCGAAAAAATAAGAAACGGATAAGTTTAAAGCTATTAAAATAAAACAATTTTTTGTGTTAAAATATTTATTCTTAGTCCGTCTAGAAAAAATAAATATACATTGAACTATTTGTGTGATAACATTTTGACTAGACAGAATTTAAAATTGTATTTTTTTAATTCCTAGAAACACAAAAGAACATTTTACTTTATCAAACATTACTATTTTTTAAATAATTCAATTGGAATGTTATTATGTATATTGTATAATGTATATTGATTTATATTTACATATCTATAATTTAAACTCAAAATGATAATTATAAAAAAGTATAACCTCAATACATGCCTTTAGTTATTAAAAATAATAAAAAAATATTCTCAGCAAAATAACTATGTAAGTATTATAAAATATGAAAAAAAAAAAATTACATGAAAATAAAAATATCGTCATAAAATAGAAGCAATACTTTAAAAGGAATGTTATTATTTTGATTATACTTAAAACTAACTAACAATCACAATCGTTTCTACTGTCTCCATTTTAGCATGTATTATGTATGTTGTGTGTGTGTCAATTCATTGGATAGGTATATTGGATGGATATATCAGTCTCAACATGTACGGGCAATGTGTATAGTCAGAATACTTAAAATTGCATATAGTGTAATTGTATTTTATCGCATCATTTTAAACCGGAAGTTGGTGTTAGGTAATTAATAATACTTTTAAATTTATTCGAAATTTAAATATTCGACGGTAACACGATTCTTAATCAGTACATATTCTATACATTTTTTTCAATCCTGTATATTATGAATGCTAATCTAAATATTATTTTAAAACCCTGTTACAGTCCATCACTCTTCATAATATTAAGAATCATAAGTACTTTCCTCTCTCGGTAACTTTTATTGTTTAAATCATCTCACAATCAAATAAAAGTAGCATAGGTCCTTTCAGAACATTGTTAGCGATTTAGATATATTAAAATAATCTTATGTTAATAAAATAATATCATTACTAATATACTATCAAAAGTAAAAAGAAGCTGCTTTGTGATCGCAAACTAATTTATAGATATCATACGTCTTCACCGTGGAAGTCAATCGTTACTGTAGCACATAGACATCTACAACGTAAATGCGCTACACACCTTGAGATATAAGTTCTAACTAAGGTCTCAGTATAGTTACAACGGCTGCCCCACCTTTCAAACCGAAACGCATTACTGCTTCACGGCAGAAATAGGCGGGGCGGTGGTACCTACCCGCGCGGACTCACAACACGTCCTACCACCAGTAATAATTACGCAAATTATAATTTTGCGGCTTTGATTTTTATTACACGATGTTATTCCTTCACCGTGGAAGTCAATCGTGAACATTTGTTGAGTACGTATTTCATTAGAAAAATTGGTACACCGGGATTCGAACACCGGTGCATCGCTACACACGAATGCACCGGACGTCTTATCCTTAAGGCCACGACGACTTCAGAACATGTTTCATTAATTCCAAATTTGAACGGGTAAGCTGCGGGGCATGTGTCACTGGTCCGTGTGTTCGCTCTGAGAGGTCCCGCGGCGAGATCAGTCGTAGTGCAGAGCGTTGTCGGCGTCGGCGTCGGCGAGGGCGTGCGAGGGCGAGGGCTTGTCGTCGGCGGCGGCGGCGAGGGCGGCGGCCCGCGCGCGCGCCCTGCCCGCCCACTCCACGCGGCAGAAGCACGCCGTGCCGACGGACGCCAGCGCGGCGAGCACCACGAGCTGCACCGAGAGCAGCGCCTTCGACGAGTAGAAGAAACACGCCGCCGCCGCCAGAGACTGGAAATATTTGTTATCATCTCAACGTTGGTATGAGACTCAAATCGAATCAAATCAAATCAAAATTTTTTTTATTCAACATAAATGAAACTATACACTTGTTGAACGTCAAAAAGAACTACCGCCAATTCACAAAAACTAGCCTCCGTCCTGAGAAGAACTGGCAAGAAACTCAGCGGGCATGTCTTTTTCTTTTAAATACAGATTAGATTTTTTTAAACATTCATTTTTACAAGATTTAACTAGAGATCGGAGTAGGTAGATTGATTTAAAGTCGTTGACGTCAAACGTAGAGGATAATATGGAAATGCCTCCAAAATACCCGAACTTCATATTATGTATTGTGATATTTGTTCCGGAATTTTGAAATTAGCATGAATCTGTGTTTAAGGTGGAAAACGTATTAATAATATTAATCTACGCTACCAGTTCTAAAAAAAAAAACCATTATGGTTAAAATGGCATGTCCATATTATAATATCTTGACGCAAGTATATAAAATTGCATTTTGTTGAGGGCGAAGCCACGGGCGCAGCTTAACGTAAAAAATAATTGTTTCGAAGTCGCCTGAGCCAAGCCGCCAATTGCTATTGGTATACATTACCGATTGCTGTCCTAAAACTATCCAAAGTTACAAGTTGAAAAATAGCTCAACTTATAGCTTTAGATAATATGTTATATTGAGGTCCCTGCCTCATGTCTCATGGAACGTTGCGACGTCCACGTGTCTATAGACATTTTAATATACACTTCTGTCACCCGGTCGGGCGTGAGCACGCCCGCACATCCGAAGCAGTAAAATAAACGGAAAACACTAAATGAGGCCGTCAGCGCAAAGGTGACCTAAGCTTACCATAGTTAATATAGAGATCATGTGATTTCATTTCAATTTTACACTGCTTCGTAGGCAAAAACAATACCCGCAAAAATAATGTTTACAAGGGCATCTGTTATCTATGGATGAAATTAGGGATAGACCAGTTTTGCATGAAAACTTCTTAATCGACGCTTGAAAGGCAAACGTGACTAAGCGACAATAACTGCTTTACAACATAAATGATAGGCAATAACCATATTCGATGTGCAAAAATGTATATTTCTAGGTCTATTAAAATCATTTCAATCCTATAGCTAGATTCGTTAAAATATATTTTTTTCAGGTATTTCAACTTTAAATTAGTCTACTGTAAAGTCACGCATTGTCGCTTAGTCACGTTTGCCTTTCAAGCGTCGTTATGTTTTGAATAAATTGCAGTATATAAATCCGAATATTAAAATTTGTGGGCTAGGCCACTTTTGCGCTGACCAAAAGTGCGCTACGACCACTGACCTGTGTAAACTTGAAGAGAGCAAACGCGGACGTGCTGTTATCCGAGTAATTGCCGCCGAGTATCGAGTAGATCTGAGTGTTGAAGCAAGCGTCTCCGAAGCCCAGCAGGAAGCTGCAGAACATCGCCAGCTCAGCAGACGGGGTGATGTAAGACACCTCGGACGTGTCCCCGAAGGGCGCCACCGTCGGCAAGTTAATGAAGATCAGGAAGAAACTGCTGAGGTGGATTATGAAGCCCATGATGACGATGGGATCGCGGCCCCAACGTGTGGTCTTGCTTCCCAAAATACCGAACAAAGCTCCGCCTGTAATTAAAGTATACGAATTGTTTTAAATTTTCACAGATTACCCACATTATTAACAATTTTATTTGTGACAAGTGCTAAGATGGTAGCGGCAGACAAATCTGTCTACCCTCTTTCTAGTTCACTTTTAGGTTACCAATTGATGACATGAGTGGATAAAGGGGTTAAGTACAATTTTTAAGATCTTTGAGTTTTTACATTGATTAACGGCGTTATATGCTTACAAACCAAATTAGACCTTAAAACTACGAATTTAAAGGCTATTTTCAGAAATTGCATGTGATGAACGATTTATGTACGTAGAAAAAGTACAAGTAACAAAAGCTTTTTTGCCTGTGTTCTCAAAATTAACAAATTGTATCATATACCCTTCATCCACTCATGTCCTCAATTACTACTTGAACTCCACTCCAACAACGTACAATTATACCGCAAGTATTATAACTACCCGCAGTTGTTGGTCTACCGGTGACCACATCGCTTGCTTCACTGCCGAAGTATCCAGAACTATACGTACGGACATCAGTGTGCTTAGTGCGAGTTTTTTAACGTTCTCGATAGCGTAAAAGTTAACTCATATTTGTATGGAATGAGATCGTTTGCGTACGTTTGCCGCTAGGGGCGCTGTTCTAACTGCATACAAAATTGGCTTAACTTTTACGCTATCGAGAACGTTAAGAAACTCGCACTAAGCACACTGACCCCAAACTTATTTCATTGGAACAATAGTGAGATTTCTAGCTCGTGTCCATAGAGAGACGCCATGAGCCGTGAGCTTCGACCAACTCACTCTCTGTCTCTCTTCAACACCCGATACATTGTACCATAACAGAAACTCACCGAGAACTTCGCCCATTCCAATGAACACCCCAGAGAGCCCGACGAGCTGCTTGGCGTTTTCCCCCATCGCCAAAGTGAATCCGATACTGGGACTGTACACGCCGCTGAAGAACGAAAGCTCGATTCCTGCGGGTAGAACAACATCTATTCAGTTTTACGTGCGCACTGATTGTTTGTACGTCAATCTATACTTCTATACTTAATATTATAAAGAGGAAAGATTTGTTTGTTTTTATTTGTTTGAATAGGCTCCGAAACTACTGAATTCTTTCACTGTTTGGAAGCTACACTATTCCCGAGTGACGTGGGCTATAATATCTTTTTAAAAAAATTACGGGTCCTTACTAAAACTCCAATAATGTAACTCAAGGTGTAAAAAAATTACCTAAAATATTCTTTAAATCGCGTGCCCTGCGAAAACTATTGATGATAGAATAAAATAATGTACTACGACTTTGTAGAACACATTATTATTTACAAAAAGTGTCGCGACAGCATATGTCTAACTATTATAGTTATGTCGCAATAAGTGTTTATTTATTATTAGTTTTATTAAAATGAACCATTCAACTTCTCAAACTCAGAACGAAACCGTCATATTTAAATTTTAATAACACTCTGAATTTTCAGTTCGATTAGCGTATAAAGGTGGTCTTTTTTTTAGGCTATTATTTATCAACCCTTTTTTAAATGACAATAATGACGATTTTAGTTGGAAGAGACTGGACTGTAAGTGTTCTTAGAACACACTACAGAACAGTGCACTTTATTGAAAATATAATTTCCATTCAAAATTAATCAATAGGCATTTTTACCATAAATTGTTAGTCGAGTGGTCGTATAGCTAAAAGCGAAATCGACTCATTACATAAATGGTAATTCCGGAAAATATACACTAGTTGTGTGATATCACTGACACTATTACAACATAATATTTAATAATCCGTTAAAACGTTTGCCTACGTTTTCCGCTAGGGGCGCTGTTCCAACACCATACATATATGAGTCGACTATTATCAAAGCCGGCAATCTGACTTTTGGATAATTATTAGTAAATCAGAAAAACGAATTATTGACTTTGTATTCCATTGGCAGTCACAAAACTCTTCGGAACGACATCTTAGATAAATAACAGGTTAACTATTAACCTTTATTTAATGCAGGTTTTGAACCGTATTCTTTGAAGGAGACGATTATATTCAAATCAATCTGTATTGACATATCAATAACATTTTTTTGTCCAAATGCACAGATTGCCACCTTTGATAATAAACGACTCATATGTGAGTTAACTTTTACGCTATCGAGAACGTTAAAAAACTCGCACTAGCACACTGTAGTGGCGAGCATCCAACAATCGATGCAACAATGTTTCTAATTTAGCCCGAGACAAGGAAAGGCCGTCTTTAACATCCATTCGCGTCGGATTATTATATGTGGTAATAATGTCAGCGATACTACACAACTAGTGTATAATGTACAGTATTACTATTTATGTAATGTGCACACTGAACTTCTGTAGATTTATTCTGTAGATCAAGTCAAGGCGGACCGCTGCGACAAAACAAAAACAACAGAACAGCAATAGTTCGTTGTTAACATTACGACAAGGTAAATAACATCTTATTCCGATGACATTTGAAATGTTAATATCGTTAATTTGAATCACAAAACGAGATTAGCGACCGATCCGTACCGGTATAGATGAAGGTGACGCTCAAAAGTAGCATATCTTTGGTGCAGAACAACTTCAGGGCGCCCTTGAAAGCCTCCAGCGGCCCTTCGGCGTCGCGATAGGCGATTTCAACCTATAAACAAAAACATACCACATAATTGGGAATAGTATAGTATAAGTACTTTGGATTACGCGTATCGTAAACCTAATTAAAACTACTTTTACAGTTCATTATTACTTTTTTAATATTGTCTGACGCAAGGGCGGATCCAGGAGGGTCACATATTCGAGGTCAAGTCAAGTGCTTATAATTTAATTTTGATAACAATAGATAGGTACAAGTTAAGATCATTATGTTCAATTAGTGATCCACCTAAGTTCTGGAACCAGCTCAGGGGGGAGAGGTCAAAAAACCCCATGACCACCCCCCCCTCTGGATCCGCCGTTGGTCTGACGTCGGAAACTATATGGCGACAATAAAAAACGCAAAATTAAACCGAAAAAATTGTTTAAATCGATATTTGAATATATTGTTCCTTCAATGTCTTTTTTTATTGTAATTGATGATCTCTTTTGGTGTCAAGGGGTACTGAAGTCCCTGGACATCACGGAATGTGGAAGTCGGTAAAGTTAAACTATGAAATATTGATTGATTCCAGTAAACTTTGGCATTTCCTTCGAAACACGTTAAAGTTTTTTTTTTTAAATAATCAAAGGCGCTGACGTCATTGTAACCATGAGCCTAATATACATAAAATATGTGTGTTAATATTTGTTAATGTCTTTCGTTGTATTGATTACTGATATTCGTCGATTGTTTTAATGACTACAACATTTAACGACTCGTTTTAGAGATAAGAATGAAACAGTTTTGGAAACAGCGTTCTCTTCGGTTTTCGAAAACATAATTAAAACTGCTTTTACGGTCAATGCACCTTGAGACTATGTTAACGTTGTACTATATTATATAGGCAAATATTTGCATTAAAAAAAACTATTAAACTGGGTCCTATGAAGCGAGAACAATATGGTGCCTACTCATAAAGGCTCTTAAACACGCTTTGCATCTCTTCCCGTGGCTTCAAAATAAAAAGGACTAGGGGATTCCCCGGAGAATAGGCAACAGAAATTTCTGAGAAATTGTCTTAGCGTCATCCTGCGATAGCCTACTTACATTTACTGATGGTAAAATGTACCTATTTGTTATAACTCCGTACGGATAGGCATCATCATCACGCTTATTTATGACGCAAAACAATCTTTGTCTACCATTGCACAGTACAATAAACTTCGACCATCACGTTTCACTTATTGATGTCTATGGACTCCGGTGGCTCTAAGCCTGGTGGGCCCTCAGCTTGCTGACCCAATAAAGAAAGAAAAACGTTTAATAAAATATTACATAATGTACATATAATAAAATAATTAAAATAACAGTGGCGATTTCGCTTCACTAAATTCTCTAATTGGGCGCTCGGACTTATATTTATAGTTTTTTTTTTTTGTAAGAACTTGACATTTAAACAAGTTTTTTATTTACACATTTTTGCATTAATAGAAAGAAAAAACCAGACACACAACACATAGTTGTGTATTTTCATAGAATCTGACGAATAGGTCATTCCGGTGATTAGCTTTTACTGCGCACGGCTACATCGTTCTGCTTATTTTTGCCGCGGGTCGATAGTTTCTTCTGAACAATCGAAGAACCGTAATACAATAAGCTTTAAAAACATCTCTAAGAAGGGGGGTTTTAATCACATTTGTGATGTATATGGAGGATAACTAATTTAAAAGCATATCGATTCATTGCTTAAACGTGAAAAAAGTACATACCAACAAATACTATGGTCTTTACTATTATTGCATTACGCAAAAACCATTTGTCAAGATGAATTATGACGTAATCAGCCACGTGTTAACAAGTTCACAAAAGGCATCCTATGGTAATGGAACATCTTAGATATATATTTATCTATTTCTGACAGCATCTCGAGGAGTGAAAGGCCATTTGGTTTAGGCGACATTTCGCTTAATACGCGTAACATGTATCTTTGTAATTAAAGATGCCTTTTATTTGGTATTAATTGAACTTCAATTAAGTCTACTTCATTCAAACAGCTGAAGATGTATTTTTGTTATGATATTCTTTTCCAAATTTTAAATGGATTTAAAGTTGCAAAAATGTCGCTTAAGCCAACTAGTCTTTCACTCCTCGATATCAAAGTTTTTTTTTTTATTGCCCTTGTAGGCAGACCAGCCACGGCCCACCTGATGGTGAGTGGTTACCGTCGCCCATGGACTTCAGCAATGCCAGGGACAGAGCCAAGCCGCTGCCTACCGCTTAATACTCTGCACAAGCCTCGTTTGAAGAAGGACATATCATAGCGCTCGGGAAACACCGTGGAGGGGAGCTCATTCCATAGCCGGATGGTACGTGGCAAAAAAGACCTCTGGAAACGCACTGTGGACGACCGCAGTGGCTCCAGGTAGTATAGATAAACTCCACTCCGGTGGCGGGCGGTGCGATGGTAAAAACGAAATGACGGTATCATCTCGAACAATTCCTCAGAGCAAAGTGAACTCACGACCTCCGTGCGATAGAAGAATCTTGATTTTTCCGTCGTCGCTTCGCTCATTAGGTATTGGAACTGCTTAACTCGATTAGTCTTAGAATGCTGGTGTACCTTGGCGTCTTCGACGGTGGCCGTCCGTTTGATCGGCCGCAGTAGCGCGAGGAAGACGATCCCGAGCACGCACACGCCGGTCAGGGCGCCGAACACAACGTTGCGCGTCTCCAAATCAATATGAGATTTCCCTTGGAACTTTATGAACACGAACAGATTACCGAAGAACATGCTGTAATTAGAAAGTACTTTTTTTTACTGGTGGTAGGGCCTATTGTAAGTCCGCACGGGTAGATACCACCACCCTACCTACCTATTTCTGCCGTGAAGCAGTAATGCGTTTCGGTTTGAAGGGCAGGGCAGCCGTTGTAACTATACTGAGACCTTTTGAACTTATATCTCAAGGTGGTTGTAGATGTCTATGGGCTTCAGTAACCACTTACGAAATAAAAATAAAATAAAAAGTACCTTTTTTTTCTTTTCCTACCTTAACTGATGCTTGCTACCTTAACCTTTCCTACCTTAACTGATAACTGCCTTGAGAGGCTATATCAGCGTAACCCTAACAAGTAGGTGCGCTCACGGGGCTCAAACCGGAGTGTTGCTAACACTGACCCTAGCAAGAGCAGTGCTTCGCAGAATCTACCACCGGATCGGAAACGCGACCCACTGAGAAGATCCAGCCAGAAACTCAGTGGGCTGTGTCTATGGGTTAATTTATTCGACGAGTCTTTCGCCGCAAGCGACCGGTTCGGCGAGGACGGTGACCGGTGCTTGAGGTACCTGAAAGCACTAGAAAGTACCCATTTTCGTTTAGCGAAAGTATTATAACGTGAGCCTTCAGTTAAGGTCTGTTAGAATTCAATGGCAATATTAAAACATTTGAAGAGCGGGCGAAATTACTCCGGTCCGAATCTTATTGTTCGGAATTTGTATACATAATTCGACGCTTGAAAGGCAAACGTGACTAAGGGACAGTAATTGCTTTATACATAAATGATAGGCAATAACCACATTCGATGAGCAAAAAAAAATTTTTTTCTAGGTCTATTAAAATCATTTCAATCCTACAGCTAGATTCGTTAAAATAGATTTTTTTCAGGTATTTCAACTTTAAATTAGTCTACTGTAAAGTTCACGCTTTGTCGCTTAGTCACGTTTGCCTTTCAAGCGTCGAATTATTATCTTCTCAAATAAAAACTATAATATAATCTCAAAACTTACAAATTTTACAGGAGGGTGTTTTAAAGGTTTAACATGTAATATTTTTAATATTACTCCATCTTTGCAACATTTATTTTTTATTTTTTACCAGTAACATTATATGTGTTTTTAAGTAAGATAAAATTATGAATTAATTTTGTTAATAGTAGTCAAAACATAGGTACACAAAAAAATTAATAAAAATAAAATAAAACTAAACTACGCTCTTTTGACAGTATTTATGAGAAAAATACTGGTGATACCAAATGTTAACGCATATTAATTCAATTTAGAATATTTTTGGAAATTGAACACTTTTAATGCGAAAAGACGATATGTGAAAACTTATCTTGCAAATAACATTGGCGGGATTCAGACATCTGTCAAATGTCTTCTGTTCTGTCATAGCTACCGCTATACAAATATTAATAAACCTAAGAGATAATAGTAGTATTAAGTGATAAAGATTAACCACTTCACACATACTACATGACAAATATTTTGAAATATTATATCGATTGGTGAAAAGCTATTGTTGGGCTTAAGCGATACATTTGCAACTTTGCAGGAGAGCCGTGTAAAGTTTAAAATTGAGGAAAAAATACAAAAAAACTTCTTCAGCTATTTGAATGGGATAAGCTTAATTGAAGTTCAATTAAAAACATCGAATTGTTGATACTAATCTATACTAATATATAAATCTACAGTGGTTTTTGCGGATGTTCCGTTATAGCAACCGAACCATGCATCCGATTGACTTGAAACTTGGTATCCATGTAGAAAATACATGAACTTAATGGGTAGGCTAATATTTATATGAGTGTTGGACTCCCTACACCAGTTGCGGGGGCGTTAATGATGAGAATCTTTGTGGGGATGAGAAATAATAATGTAAATTTTAAATGCCCAGCGAAGCGGACGGGTACAGCTAGTATAATATATAAATCTACAGTGGTTTGGACTCCCTAGTAATAATGACAATAAATAATAATGTTAATTTTAAATGCGCAGCTAAGCGGGCGAGTACGGCTTGTATCAAATAAAACAGACCTTTAATTACAAAGATAAACATCCTATTAAATGAAATGTCGCTTAAACCAAATAGCCGTTCATCCCCGATATGTAGGTGAGTAACGTGTTGTGAGTTCACGAGTACTCAAGGTTACCTACCTACGTACTCACGGCTACCTTTTAGTAATTTATTAACATTGTTAACGGCATTCGAAAGGATTGCGTGACACGGTACAACTCAATAAAAAAAAACGAGTTATCCTTAAATGATTCTTGTGAAACATTTCCTTTTTTATATCAGTGTCATCTTGTATATTTATATAGAAATGCGATGCTGATTGTTTACCACTTTTACTTGGAGTTACACAACTACTTGCGTAGGCGGATACGATCCGAAGGAAATAAACGGTGAGCGTTATGACTAGAGTGCATTAACCCCTTAAGATAGCTCCCGACAGCGAACAAACGATTGAGGTATCGATTTTGCCACAAATCATGATCAGTTCAAATCGATTGCGTATTTCGAAACTACTAATCAATAGAACTATTTCGTAACGATGACAGGAGCTAGAGACATAAAAAAGCAAAACACTATCAAAATCGAGTGCAAGATTATTAATCGATATATAATATCGAATACTTCAGTTTCCGTGATCTTTTTTTTTGCCTACCTATTCTAGTGAACTCGAGGGGTCATGCTAGGTTCACAGAACAAGTAGGTGAGCTCACGGGGCTGGGGACGAGCTCACAGCCCACCTGGTGTTAAGTGGTTACTGGAGCCCATAGGCATCCTCAATGTAAATGCGCCACCCACCTTGAGATATGAGTTCTAAGGTCTCAAGTAAGTTACTGATTAGATTGTACTCTTCTACCCACTTATGTATAGCTCACCATTTTATAGCTTATCGCAATTATTGTAATGTATTAACTGTGTGTACAATAAAGAATAAGGACGACCGTCTCCTCCAGATCCATTAACGGTGCTTTTAGGTACCACAAGTACCGGTCACCGTCCTCGTCGAAACCGTCGCTTGCGACGAAGGGCTCGACGAGCGACATAGACATAACACAACACAACAGACATAACACACGACCCATAGACACAACCCACTGAGTTTCTCGCCGTATCTTCTCAGTGGGTCGCGTTTCCGATTCGGTGGTAGATTCTGCGACTCACTGCTCTTGCTAGGGTCAGTGTTAGCTAGTTAAAGTTACGCTAAAATAGCCGCTCAAGGCTATCTATCAGCTTAGGTAGGGAAAAAAAAAAAAGACAACCGAATCAATGAGCCTCTTTTCGGGGTCACAAATAATTACCTGCATTGTAGCATAGCCCAGAAGATACCCGAGTTCCTTGATATCGTTTCCGCGTCGCTGTTCATTGTGAGATAGTTTCCTTGGCCGGTCCATATCATGGCGGCCCCGGCGCCGATCAGCACGCTCGCCACGTACAGCAGCCACGTGCGAGGAAACAGGAACGTCACTATGAAGAACCTGAGCGAAATTAACTTGATTAAAGCAAATGTTTTAATATTCGATTACATGTATATCTATATATGTATATAAAAATGAATTGCTGTTCGTTAGTCTCGCTAAAACTCGAGAACGGCTATTTGACTAATTTTCGTCTTAAATGATTTGTGGAAGTCCAGAGAAGGTTGAAATGTAGATAAATATGAAAATGCTGCGGAATGAAATAAAAATAACAGATTTGTTTTTCCTTTCATGACCCCCCCCCCGTCCCCCGTCGGACGGATTCCTTTTGTTTGTTTTTAGTAAATTTTATACAAAAGTTTAGGTTCTTTATTTATCGATTGAGGCACTACGAAATCTGCCGGTTCAGCTAGTTTATAATAAAATGCATATGGTATCAATAACAAAACGGATGAAGAGAAAAGTCTCTCCCTATGGTAAATTACAATGGATATATGTACTCGTTCTTACGGATCCATCAGATCCGATAACTATTGCATTAGACGCCTTCAGTTTTTACACTAGAAGCAGGATTAGGGTCTCTTAGGATCTCTTAGGGTCTCGGCAAAGAGTTCGACGTGCAACATAACCCATACGTCAGCTCGCTGAGTTTCCCTCAAGGGGAGATCTTCTCAAAGGGTCCCGATTCCGGTCTGGTAGTAGATTCAATTGCGAAGGATTATTAGGAAGAATTATTAGAATTTAAATTATTAGGTTGAAACTGAATTATTAGGTCTCCTCCAGAGGTCTCCAGTAATCCTTCCTTCACAAAAAAAAAGGTATTCTAATGGAAATTTAACCCAAGCGGGGTTTTCGTCAGGCAGGCGGCCGGTCTTAAAACTAATGCCAAATTCCTATCCGACATGATACGAGGACATGTTGCGCCGAGCTCACGTAATGCGGGATAAGAACATGAAGAAGTAGAAATAATCAATTACATTTTTAGAACAGCCGACAGATGTCAGCAGTGCTGCTCATAAAATGTTACACTGCGTTTTGTATAAATACATCAAACTTGGAGCATTTATCGTACGTACATAGACAAGTCGGGTCATGTAGTTTCCAACATGAACACTAATTGAAACATTTTAAATTTCAGCTAAAATTATGAAGTCCAAAACGTTTATTATCTGAGTAAATAATAGAATTGCAAAACAGCAGACTAATGTTTATAAACACGCCTTGAATGCAAACACGTGTACTACATTAATAATCACAATTTCAAATGAGCACCATTCGATTATACAGGGTGTTCCAGAAAGAATGGATAATCCTGAAACACCTCATAGATACCTCAAAATAAAATAAAAATATTTCTTAGGTAGTACCCAAATTAAAAATACCAAATTTCATGATCAAAATTTAAGTTCAGATAACTTTTATAAATAATTACACTAGCTACTCATGCGATTTCCTGCATATTCCTTGCAGCGGTATGGAAAATATCAACTTTTTTTAAAATACGTAATTTGGGTACTACCTGAGATTTATTTATTTATTTTGTGTCCCCAATAGCTCTACTATGAGGTGTTTCAGGATTATTCATTCGTTCTGGGACACCCTGTATATACATAATATTTATATTATATAGTAAACATCTACTTTTTAGTATCAATTTACACATAATAGTACATAGACAGCAAAAAGTATTCAGTAAACGTGTGTTTGCTATAAAAAAATTGCTCAGACATGCCAGGCCTACCGCCCCTCAACGCATAAAAGGAAGTCCAGCGATTGCCTGCTGACCAAATCACTCCATAGTATAAAACAAAGTCGCTTTCACTGTCCCTATATCTGTCTGTCCCTATGTATGCTTAAATCTTTGAAACTACGCAACGGATTTTGATACGGTTTTTTTAGTAGATAGTGTTTTTTTTAATTTTTTTTTTTATTGCCCTTGTAGGCAGACGAGCATACGGCCCACCTGATGGTGAGTGGTTACCGTCGCCCGTGGACTTCAGCAATGCCAGGGGCAGAGCCAAGCCGCTGCCTACCTAAGTGATTGAAGAGGAAGGTTTATATGTATAATAACATCCATTAAATAGTGGAGAAATCAATAATAAATTACAGTTTCCGAAGCGAAGCGAGGGCGGGTCGCTAGTAATAACTATTCTAACTATTCGAAACGATGTATGTAGATACGTAATATACTTAGTACCTAGTATTTGGGTCAAAAGCAACCTGTAGAGATGATCTATTTGATAAACCTAATCTAATTAATTATTGGTGATAATAATATGGTAAGTACCACTATACTGCTCGTTCCAGCCGATGTGTTTCGGTTTGTAAGGTAGGACAGTCATTATACAATCCAATTGAAATATCGACCACATCATTTAGGGGCGGTATTAACGTTACAACGTCTATAAAATCCGCTGACCAGATTACTTATTGATGCCTGTTTTATTTCGTTCCTTCTATTTAATTGACGTTGTATCATAATTATCAAAGCGGATGTATTGTTTTGTAACTAGTTGCGGTTAGCTGATAATTATTGCAACACATAGTTTTATTTACAGACACAGTCGGAGCTCGGAAGGATTTCGCAAAGGAAAACATGTAAACTCTAAAATGGTCCCATGATAGTATAATACAAAATATCGTTTCAAATTCACGTGAACTTTTTAACGGTAGGCGCTGCTCCTGGCATTGCTGATGTCCATGGGCGACGATAACCACTCACTATCAGGTGGGCTGTATGACCGTCTGCTTACAAGGGCAATAAAACCTTTGACCCGAGATTTCATCTCCGTTAAATTATGAATGTTTTGCTTATCTAACCTTATAAGCGAAGTTCTATCTGAGAAAAAATCCATAAATCTGCGGGAATTTCATTTATGTTTCACCATGACCATCTAGAATAAGATACAGTATCACTTATCTGCAATGTCGAGTGAACTTAAAACTTGATTGAACATCTCTTAACAATTTCAAAACACGTAGGTAATAAGTATAACTCGTTTTTGGCATGTTAAGAATTTAAAGGCGCGATGGTATTTTACATTCTTTGGAGTTTATATCTATATAAAGTTCAAGTTTGCGCATTGTAAAAAATCATATCATGCATTACCCAATGAAAAAATATATCGTCCGCTGTTTTGACGCGATGAAATAATTTTATTTTCGGAATTCCTTACAGGATACATCATGGCAGTCGGAAATCAATCAGTTTTTTATTGATTGCATCATTTACGGCCTTATCAGAAGGCACAAGTTCACACCAAGAGCAATGGAGAAGGCTATGATCGGAGTCGCCTTACGAGATCGAATCAGAAATGAGGAGATTCACAGGTGAAACATGTTAATCCGAAGAATTGCGAGTTGCAAGTGACAGTTGGTAGGGTACATTGCTTAAACGACATACGGCCGCTGGGACTAAAAAATCTCAAGTGGCTATCGGGCACCATAAAACGTAACTTGGGTAACAAGGTGGACCTACGACCTTTTGAAGGTCGAGAGGATCCGCTGGATGTAAGAAAAATAGGATCAGTCGTAGTGGCGAGAGCCTTGGGGGAGACTTAATCAAGTAGTAACCATCTGTGCGTTTTCCGAACGCTATTACATGTCCCTGCTTAAACGAGGCTTGCGGAGAGTACTTAATTGTAGGCAGCGGCTTGGCTCTGCCCTTGGCATTGCTAACGTCCATGAACCACGGTGACCACTTACCATCAGGTGGGCCGTATTCTCGTCTGCCTACAAAGGCAATGAAAATAAATATTTGTGAGCTGATAGGTACAAATAAGACTTTCAAAAATTGTCTTCCGTTTTATTATGATCATAATTATTCAATTCGACTTATAGAGCTCCGACAATTTATTATAATCAAGATCGCCACTGTTTGAAAGATGTTGGTGAAACGAGAAAGTTGTCTAGTATGCGAGCAACTCAAATTCGCTCTCAAGCAAAACACGTTCGTTAGTGAAATCGAGTCTCTTACGGGACGACGACGAATCATTGACAAAAGCGACCGTCACTTATGGATGAACCACTCATCTTTCAGCTTACGTATATTATGATGTAACTAATTTATATCAAGATTTTTTTCTCCCTAATCGTTGGTTACCTAAGGGGCTACTCCAGTTACGCTCCAGGTACCACCACCCTGCCTATTTCTACCGTGAAGCAGTAACGCGTTTCGGTTTGAAGGGTGGGGCAACCGTTGTAACTATACTTGAGACCTTAGAACTTATATCCCAAGGTGAGTGGCGCATTTACGTTGCAGATGTCTATGGGCTCCAGTAACCACTTAACACCAGGTGGGCTGGTGAGATCGTCCACCCATCTAGGCAATTAAAAAAAGCAATAAAAACGCTCGGACTGCTAGGTGAGCTCACGGTCTCAATCTGAGACAATTGCTAACACTAGCCCTAGCAAGAGCAATGCTTAGTTTGGATCAACTACCGAATCGGAATCGCAATCCACTGAGAAGATCCGGCGAGAAAGTCTGAGGATAAAATTGGTATTAGTTAACCTTGTTAGCTTAAATTTTGCTAGTTGCAATACTGAAGTCAGGTTTGAATAAGGAAAAGGTTATTTCGCTCAATTCAGTGACCCATTCATTTAAATTGCAAACCTGTATTTACCCATACTGGAATACCGGATTTTGTAATGTAAGCACAAGTCATTAGTGGTATATGATTTGTCATTCGGGTACTTTGTGTACTTGTCAATATACTTAGGCCGTTTTTGCACTGGTACAGGATATTGCAATGCTCCAAAATAAAATGCACAAATAAAAATTTGCTAGTATTCGCTTTGGTGCGCGCTCTCTCCTACATTATTTTACATCTGCCTATGCTTACTACGTAATCATTTTCAAATTGAAAAATATTACTACTTTCACATTCCACTTCACTTAAGACAGTTCTTGGAAATATTTATATTATTAATCATTCAGAAATCTTGTTTATGACACTCTTACGTCACTTAGTCTAATTTTTAAATCAACTTCATCATGAGCATCAACATGAGCAGTTTAGACTTGAAATAATTTCCAATAAGGCCTGATTCTTAAGAAGCCA